AAAAAAAAACACACTATATGAGTTCAGCTATGGTAAAAAATTTTTCCTTGATAAGCACAATCAATTATTTTATACTATATATATAATTAAGTTTTTCTTCATAATTGAAGATATTCATTTGATTGGTTAGACTATTTTGAAAAGCTCTTTAAATAAAAAGTATCTCAAATAAGATTATACTTAATTTTTATCTTATTTTATTCCATATCTTTTTAAAGGACATGAACTTTATATTAATTCAAGTTAGAATTTGGACAAAAATCCAATTTTGGTCAGCTAATTTGTCAATTGTTCACTTTTGGTACACTATCTTTCCCTTCATAAAAAATGGTCCATTATGTTACATTTTTCATCAGTTTTAGTACGCTACTCCAGTTGGCGAGATTACAAGATGACGTGGACCGGGATTAGAACTACATAGAGGGATAAGATATTGACGTGGTAGGATAAAAACCTGATTTGACATCTCGTAATCCCGGGCCACGGGATTAGTGTACTAAAACTGATTAAAGTGTAACATAACGAACTATTTTTGTTGAGAGAAAAGATAATATGCCAAAAGTGGACAATGGACAAATTAGCGGATTAAATTAAATTTTTGCCTTTAGAATTTGATACGTCAATAACAAAATTAATTCAAGTTATAGTAAAAGAAGCAAAAATTTCAATTATGTGCTGACCATATACAAAAGCGTAAATTAGGAATCAATTACCATCATCAACCATAAACTTATCCATACGGATTCAAATTAAAAATTGTCGAAAATGAGGATAAATTACAAACTGCCCCAACAAAATTGCTGGCCGAATCAAACCCTAACACGCCTATACAACACTTGTGCTATAAGTCTCCATCGTATACAGCTTGGACCGTGTTTTCCAAAATTCCTTGTTATATATGGTCTATGCAAAAGCTCCATTTCATTTAAGTCCTCAAACTATTAATTATTTGATTCCATTATTACACTTAATTAAGAATGTTATTCGAATCAAATTGTTCACAGACACAACTCATAAATACTTGAGTCTAAAGCCTTCCCAATTGATCGTTTAATTATATTTTTATTTTTAAAAGTTTGAATTAAAAAGTCAAGCTGGGCATATTCACGAACATACAAATCGTGTTCCCGCGCGAATAAAACTTTTACGATTTTGGTTTTGTTAAATGGGCAAAGAGCGAAATACAGACTTTCACAAGCTGAACTTGAACCGTACCAAGTCATTTATTAAATGAGCAAGAATTAAAACACAAATTGTGTGGCTCAATTTCACTAATTAATTGTTTTTGTCTGTAATTACAATTAAGTCTGTTATTTGAACAAAACTATTTGCTAATTACACAACTTTGTTCAAGTCATAAAAGGTTGAGTTGAACTCGTTCACAAAGAACTCGTTTAATATTTTTTATATGTTTCGTAAAAATTGAACCGATCATGTTTGCAGACTGTAAATATATTTCTGGGACAATTCATTTCACAATTTTGGGTTCGATTATTGAGCCAAATGGAGATTTTATCAGTTTAAAAAAGTCGAGCTTTAGCTCATCTTTTGTTATTAAACGACCCAATCCGGTTCGACCCCTTCGATTTATTTTTTAAACGAGCACGAACTCGAACATAAAGAGATCCGACACCACTCATTTATTTAATAATTGGTCAATTTAAATATATAAAATTGTAAATTGTGAAAATATATTTCTCTACAAAAACTACAACACAACCGTCCTACACGCCAAAGGTCTTGAGCCAGTCAATGGACGCGCCACAAAGACCAATAATAATGACCCATAAATGCCCATTTTGAGTTGGCCCATTTTTTATAGTTTCGTAGCATGTTCATATCCAAATTCTATGGGCATTTTTGTCATTCCCCCTCAAATATTGCCCCAAAAATGACACATATTATACAAGGTTTTGCTCTAATGGTGAGATAAATAAAAGGTAGAAGACAAAGATAAACAAACGGCTTTCATTCTACAGAGTCCGGACAACTGCCAACCCATTCACCACAACAGGCCATACAACACAGAAATACCTTTCTGGTTTCTATTTTTTTATTTTTATTTTGGGGCACTCAAAGGTCTGATTTTTTTTTTTCTTTTTATTTTTTTTTAGCTTGGCATAAATGGTTTGAGGGGTCTGGATTTTTAGCATTTAGGGTTCTTCCCCATCTTCATTTTTTTTTTTTATTGAAAGGATTGATTTGCGACCGGGGCTCTTGGAATTTTCAACTCTGGATAGAGATCTAAGTTTGAAAATCCATTGTTTTTGTGGAAAAAATTTAGGGAAAAAAAAGGTGGGGCTTGAGATAGAGGAATGTGTGCTTTGTCCAGATTTTGGGAGAAGGTGAATACGATGGGAGAAGGTGGATCTCGCTATTGTTCGAAGAAATCTGATGATGTGTGTGGTGATGCTTGTGGTGAGGTAAAAAAAATCTTCAAATTTTCGTTTTATTTTCCTGTAATTTCTGGTTAATTGCATTAATGGTGGAGCATTTGTGTTTTTTTTTTACATTTTTCTGTCTTGTGTGTGATGATGTGATGGGGATTTATTTATTTTTATTTATTTATTTATTTATTTTTTTGTGGTGTGATGGTTCTGGATTTTGTGGTTTTGATTTTGTGTTTTTTTTTTTCCAGAGGAATTATCGATGGAATGTTGATGGTAACTATAAAACTTGAATGCTCTATTTTATATATTTCTCTTTTTTGGAGGAAAAATTTTGGGTTTGGTATAGTTTTGTGTTTTGTTTTGTTCATGTTCATATCAAAATTCCCATCTTTATGGTATTTGTTATATCAAAACATCAAAACACAAGATTTTAAGATCACTGAGTTTTCTGTTTTCTTTCAATTTATTGAATTCTCCATTTTTGGCTCATTGAATGGTTCATTTTGCCAACATATGCTCTTGAATCGTTTTCTGCTGTTTCTTGCTGGAATTCTCATTTCTCAATGAAATAGTCCATTTGGATACTTAAAAAAAACCGTTCTTGAGCTTCGAAAAACCCATCCCATACCAAAGTCTATCAAAATTGTTAACACAATCATGAAAACACATCCATTTTAACTCTCTTCATCTCATTTATCTGTTAATTCCTTACACCACAGGACTCAGACTCAAACCGACCACTAACCATGACCCGATTAAAATGTTTCCTTCGAGGGCTTGACATAAAAGCCTATCTCTTCCTATTCATGCTCGTCCCCACTTGCATTTTCGTTATCTACATGCACGGCCAGAAGATAACCTACTTTCTCCGGCCCCTTTGGGAATCTCCACCGAAGCCTTTCAACGAGATTCCTCATTACTATCACGAAAACGTGTCCATGGAGAATCTATGCAAGCTTCATGGCTGGGGCATTCGCGAATATCCAAGACGAGTATATGATGCCGTTTTATTCAGCAACGAGCTCGATATCCTCAAAATACGCTGGAAAGAGCTTTACCCTTATGTAACCGAATTTGTTCTCCTCGAGTCCAATTCGACTTTCACGGGCCTCCCGAAGCCCACGATATTCTCCACAGCCCGGGCCCAGTTTGATTTCGTCGAGGCCCGTTTGACCTATGGACAGGTCCCTGGCAGATTCAAACAGGGAGTAAACCCGTTTGTCGAGGAAGCTTATCAAAGGATTGCTTTGGATTATTTGCTTAAACAGGCAGGTATTCAAGATGATGACTTGTTGATAATGTCGGATGTTGACGAAATCCCGAGCAGGCACACGATTAATCTGCTGAGGTGGTGTGACGGGATTCCTCCCGTTTTGCATCTCCGTTTGAAGAACTATTTATACTCGTTCGAGTTCTTGCTTGATAATAACAGCTGGCGAGCCTCGGTCCACGTGTACCAATCTGGAAAAACGAAGTACGCGCATTACAGGCAATCAGACGTGATTTTGGCTGATGCGGGCTGGCACTGCAGCTTTTGCTTTAGGAGGATAAGCGAGTTTGTGTTCAAGATGAAGGCTTATAGCCACTTTGATCGGGTTCGTTTTTCGCATTTTCTGAGCCTGAACAGGATTCAAAGGGTTATTTGTAAAGGTGCTGATTTGTTCGATATGCTGCCTGAGGAATACACGTTTAAGGAGATTATCGGGAAGATGGGGCCCATCCCGCATTCGTACTCAGCTGTACATTTGCCGGCGTATCTTTTGGAGAACGCGGATAAGTTCAAATTTCTTTTGCCGGGAAATTGCATGAGGGAAAGCAGTTGAGGGGAGGAGGAAATTTTTCGATTTTTNAGGACATTTTATTGTCTTTCTAGAGTGAGGTTTGTATATAAACTCTTTTTTCCTTTTCTTTATCGTTTGTTTAGAGTTTATAGATAGTATATGTGGACTGAGTGAGAGATTTGCTTCGACTGGAACTGGTTGTAACTTCGGTTACTCGTTTTTTTCTGTACTATATGTGATATTTGAAGCTAATATGACTTTGTTATGGCTCCTGGTTTTTGCTTCTTTTTTTTTTTCTCATTTATTTAGGAAAATTTTGCCATTTAGGTAAGTTTGTTTTTTTACCCGTCCTTGTGATGATCTTGCACAGTTAGTTTGTTGTTCATTGAAATTTTTGGGAGGTTTATATTGAAAAGTATTAATCTGAGAAAACAATAGTCCCAGGAAGTCTGTTGTTTTCAGCTGCTGCATTTGATTCTTGTTTTAGGGGATTAGTCATAAAATCTACACTTGAAATGGAAACCTGAAAATTTAACACCTATATATATATATATATGTCGTAGAGTAGTAGATGGATTATTTTCTTTTGCTGTTCGTGTGTGTTAGCTTCGTTCTTTCAATCATCATAATCAGTAAAATTATAGAACAATAAATAAGAAGAGACATACATTAACTCAGAGCTAATTGGACTGATCGTCTTGAATAAAAAATGGATATCTCGTCTCACTAGAATTTGCGCAAGAAAACAATAGTAAGTAACAATACCATACAAGAATTTCTGTTCAAACAAATATCCAATACATGAAAAGTGCACAACAATCTTCTCTGGGACAATGCAAACATGAAGACTAGCCTGCAATTCAACAGAAGAAACACTTAAATAATTTGTACTCTGATTGTAAACTAAAATAGAATCCAAGTAAATAGACTAATGTGTATATATGCAAATAAAGGTAATAAAAGATATCAAAAGGTTGAACTCTATCTCACTGCTTATTTCTATTTTCTGACATCTTAGTGTCATTGGTAATAAAAGGAACTGTTATGATAACAGTACATTTGATAATTTTCCCAGCAAAACAGAGTCATTTGAAAATTATGCAAAAAGGGATTTCACAACAATAAAAGTCACCAATCAGGTACCTCCTTAGCTGCTCTTTGTTTCAAAATCATCGGCAAATGAATGTTCCTTCCCTCTCCAAACTGCCAACACCTCATCTGTTCTGAACCTTTGAGTAAAAGTAGATTCCTCGAGAGGAGTTATGCCGTGAGCATACGCAAGCAAGCCAGTATAAACAATCATTGCCCCATTGTCAATGCAGTACCTATCATCAGTAGCAAATAATTTCCCACCCCTTTCAGCACACATAATTCGCATCATCTCCTGTAAGCGCTCGTTACAACCCACACCGCCAACAATTAACACATCCTTCGTGTCACAATGATCCATGGCTCGTTCAGTGATTTCCACGAGCATTGCAAACAAGGTTTCCTGAGAGGAGAGGAAAAAAAATTAAAGTCGGATTGTTAAATGAAAAAATCTTTGAAATGGATTTTATTGGATGAAAAACTTAACCTGAAGTGAATAACACAAGTCTGCAGGAGTGCATTCGTTATTTTTAAGCTTCTCATTGGCGGTGGCTTCGATGTAGCTCAAAATCCCACTAAAAGAAACATCCATTCCCTTGACAACATATGGGAGATCTATAAATTTCTCTCCTTTCTTCGCCAGCTGGCAGGAGGTTCAAAAAAATACAAATTCAGTAAGAATCTTAATACCTATAATCGACGAATGGGCTAAAGCTAAACCGAGCACAATGCAATTGCTAGAAGCATGCATAAACATAAAGCATGAAAGAAGGTGTGTATGTCAATTTTAAATTGAAAAACGCCAAACACAACATAAGCCGAGCGGGTAATTTAATCAACACTGCAAAACAAAACAAACCTGCTCAATGTTGTATCCAGGGCTGGGATCATTTGACAGCGTGAGAACCCTAGCAAATCTATCCAAGCAATTTCCAACTGCAATATCTATTCTCTCCCCAAAAATACGGTAACGCCCCTCACTATACGCGATAACCTGAGTCTCACATACAACACAACTGGATCATCAGCCCCGGTCACAATTCTCCCCATCTCAATATGCGCCACACAATGATTAACAGCAACAATTGGTTTCTTCCAAAGTTGTGATTAACAGCAACAATTGATTTTGTAATCCATGGGAACGAATTTTTTTCCTCGTGGGCTTATCTACTTTGTTTCATATGAAAAGAGTTAATAAATTGCTCATTGATAACAATAATTTTACCTCAAATTACCCAAATTTCTCTTATATGTGGCTCCAATTCCTTATTGATTCATTTCTATGTGCCTCCACATTTTAGGATTACAAGTCCCAATCTAAGACAGTCAATTTCCGGATAAGATATTATGAATCAGTATAAGTATTTTGTTTTGTGGAATTAATCATTTATTTTTTTTATCCTTCTTTTACATATTTACTACATTTTTTGAAAATTTTTACAAAAGTACGTAATTTAAAATAAAATCGTAATAAATCATTCATAAACGAATCAACAAAAAGAAAAAATACATCAATTAAAAACTTCATAACCACGTAAATACTAAGAAATATGTAGTTGAAGAGCATAATTTCCTAATTTGTGTTCTTGGTATGGTTTGGACCCTTAAAAGATGTAACAAAATAGAAACCAACTCCCCAATCCACACTAGTTGGCCCATTTATTGATTAAATCAGGCCTAGTCCACTCCAAGTCTCTCCTTCATCTTCATTGCGAGAGGGCTCAGATTAAAACCACCATCTCCTAAAAGGCGAAAATACCTGAAAACCCTAAATTTTCGTTGCTATCAAATCCCATTACCAATTACAATCATGGTTTACCGGGATTAGGACATTATGTGGTTCAGAATGCCAACTTGGATCTGTGAGTGCAAAATGCGGGATTTACCGTATCGGGGATAGATGTAGATCATCTACCCTTTGCAGTGATCCCAACTCACAACCAGATTGCCGCTGAAGATCGAAGGAGGAGAACCTTGATAGATAAGGTTCCACATATGAATGATTTGGATGCGGTAGAAAAGGAATTGAGGTACCATGAGGTCCTCAGCAGAGTAAATGGGGTGGCTGCACTCTCCCCGGCTGTGATGCAGATGCTTCAGTCTTTGGTACAGGACCAACAGAATTTGCTTCAGGGCTAACAGGCTTTGATACATGGCCAACAGAATTTGATACAGGTATTTCAGGGCCATCAGGCTACACTCAAGGGTCTCCAGCAAGGCCAAAATTTGGCCAATGAAAGGATCGATTCATTGTTTCGAGTCATATCTGGGAGGTCTCGAAATCAACACATCAAGAGAAGAGACGAGATGAATGAACACTCTTGCCAAAATTGTCTTCTGGGCATCCATATCCGCAGCCACTACCCGTCCAAGGGGTGAACATTAATATGGGCCTATCAAATGACTGATATGCCCCTAATGAATGGACTGTTGCCTGCAAACAATAATGAGTTTGCAGCAGAGGCTAACTCTGCCTAATTTGAAGAGAAAACTGAGAGCCATTTATTGGTTTTATAATGACGCCCGTCTGAGCAACGGCACCTATGCCGTGAGGCATTGTGGTGGATGTCCAGACGGACGTCATTATAAAACTAATAAATGGCTCTCAATTTTCTTCTCAAATTAGGTAGGGTTAGCCTCTGCGTTGCTGCAAACCCATTATTGTTTGCAGGCAACATTCCATTAAGGGCATATCACTCACTTGATAGTCCCACATTAATGTTCATCTCGCGTAGTGGTTGCGGATATAGATGCCCGGGAGACAATTTTGGTAAGAGCGCAAAGGGTTCATTCATCTCTCTCCTGATGTGTTGATTTTAAGACCTCGCAGATATGACTCGGCGCAATGATTCGATCCTTTGATTGGCCAAATTTTGGCCCTGCTGAATACCCTGATGGCCTGAAGTACCTGTATCAAATTTTTTGGCCCTGAAGCAAATTTTGCTGGCGTGCACCAAATTCTGTTGGCCCTGTAACAAAGACTGAAGCATCTGCATCACAGCCGGGGGGAGTGCAGCCACCCCATTTACTCTGCTGAGGACCTCATGACCTCAATTCCCTTTCTGCCGCATTGAAATCATTCATATGTGGAACCTTATCTATCAAAGTTCTCCTCCTCCAGTCTTCAACGGCAATCTGGTTGTGATTTGAGATCACTCCAAAGGGCAGAAGATCCACTTCTATCCGCGATACGGTAAATCCCGTATTTTGCACTCCCAGATCCAAGTTGGCATTCTGAACATAATCTCCTAATCCCGATAAACCATGATTGTAATTGGTAATGGGATTTGATAGCAACGAAAATTTAGGGGTTTCAGGTATTTTCGCCTTTAGGAGATGGTGATTTTAATCTGAGCCCCTCGCAATGAAGATGAGGAGAGACTGTGAGTGGACTGGCCTGATTTAACCAATAAATGGGCCAACTAGTGTGGATTGGGGAGTTGGTTTCTATTTTGTTACATCTTTTAAAGGTCCAAACCATACCAAGAACACAAATGAGAAAATTATGATCTTCAACTACATATTTCTTAGTATTTACGTGGTTATGAAGTTTTTATTTTTAATTNGTACGATTTTATTTTAAATTACGTACTTTTGTAAAAATTTTCAAAAAATGTAGTAAATATGTAAAAGAACGAAAAAAATAAATAAAAATCAAATGACTAGTAATTTGATTCATATTTGTATTTTTTATACTTATACTGATTCATAATATCTTATCTAGAAATTGACTATCTTAGATTGGGACTTGTAATCCTAAAATGTGGAGGCACATAGAAATGAATCAATCACATTAGTTGTGTGAAGAAATTGGAGCCACATATAAGAGAAATTTGGATAATTTGAGGTAAAATTATTGTTATCAATGTTCCCTTATCAATGAGCAATTTATTAACAATTTTCATATGAAACAAAGTAGACAAGCCCACGAGGACATGTTTTATATCTTTAATATGAGATTGATCTATAATTTTCACATGGAAAGGTACAATGTAAACAGGCCCTCCTCTGGGGAATCACGACTAGCCACTAGACCATATGGGCTCGGTTGGGCTAGAACGTGAGGGGAATTACCCCTTGGACCAGGTACACCAACAGGTACTCCCTGCCCCTGTAGGGGTTATAACACAATCAGAGGTAATTCATAAAAATGAATGCCATCATTGGAAAATATTTAACATGTGACCTGTTGACATGTTGACATGTTCTAAACAGGCAATTGTTTTCCAACTTTTGTTCACAAAATCGACATAAAATTAACCTTCAATTGTATATACAATTACAACTTTCAGTTACAGACACATCAGGCTCCATCTTGTGAACAAGAAATGTTAAAATTTGCATATTATGAGGAATTGCCCTTTGAACCCATAAATAGATTAGAAAAGTGTACATCAAGGCAAATTATAACCACCTTGCATCATGGACCATGGATTCAAAACTGTTGTTTGGTACTCGTAGTTTAAAATGGTGGAGCAACAACGATTAGGAAACCTTCGCAAAGTCCACTAAAGCATTATACATTAATCATCTATTCAAGTCAAAATGTATTAGAGACAATTGACAAATATGTAACTATTTGTCTTTGTATTTGCAAAAGCTCCACTTTTATCTTTAATGACCTAAACTACAACACGAAATGAGTAGTATCACAACAACACGCCCATTTTTGTAAAGAGAAAGTGAAGGTGGAATTTTTCCAAATCCATTTTACGGCTGTAAGCCACGACCAAGCCCGGGATGAAGCACGGTCTAATCCACTTTCTTCAAGGCTTAAAAAAAAATCAATGACCATATAAAAATAACTGCGTTGTAAGTTGAACTCTATTACCAAATGTTATTCGTTTCTTTCAAAAACAAAAAAGGTAACTACAATTAAACATCTGTGGTGTCAATTATTAAACACGAAATGCTACCTGAAGTGGGGCGCCCGCCCATGCCAGGACCTTTTGTGTAGCAGAGGCAGTCAACTTGTTCTTGTTCTGGAGTGATGTTGGCCTCCTGCAGCGCCAAATTTACGAGCGGTAGCAGATGTGGAGGTGGTGATGGGCGGTTTCCCTGGGGAGAAAGCCTTGCCCCGGCGGTGTTATGTAAGTATGGCGTGGATTGGAAAGAATGGTGCCGTCCAGAGTCACCACCCCGACGCCGATCTTGTTGGCCGAGCCCTCGAAACCTAAGGCAATCAGTCGTTTCTTCTCCGCCTTTGTGGGCGGGGGATCTAGGGTTTACGAACAAATTTTACCCACCTCTCTCTCAACGTATTAGTTTTGAGTTTTTGACTCTCCTCGTAGACAATACAATTGTACTGTATTATACAATACCTCTCGGCCGTCACCTCTTTCACGCCACCTCTAGGCCGAGCAGCCGCGCTGCTCCTTTGCCGATTCCACACTACGCTGCCGGTCGTCGGTGGTGTTCGCGGTACCGCCACCTGGGCGAAGGCCACCGTCAAGAACTGCTAAATCATGAGTGGAATGGAGAGGAAAAAGTGGAGATATTTTGTTGTTTTGGGATACAATTTTGAGGGTGGCTGTTCGATTTTGATTTTGGGAGGTTTTGGGTGCTGCAAATCTATGAGAAAAAAGAAACAGAAAAGAAGAAAGGAGAAAGGACGAAGAGAGAGAGGATAAGAGGAAAAAGAAAAAAGAGAAGAAAAATAAAAGAATTTTGACCTTTGACCAAAGGTTGAGTATTGGGCTTTTGGGATTAAGTTTTTGGGCTGCAAGAGACTAATTCGGGCAAAGAATAAAGGGATGAGTTTGGGAAAAATTTTGGAGCAACTAGATTGAGTGAAGAATTATTTGGTCTAAGAAGCTTTGACCCGATTACCGAATCAAATATGACTACGTTCGACTTATCCTATTATGCCACACGTTTACTTTCACTAATCTATATATATAATACTAGGAGCCTATCGGCAGCCGTCCCACGGCAATGTTCAAATTGAGGAGAAAAATAACCACGACAAATTAAATAGTTTCTGAAGTTGTTCTGCGGCCGAAATCGTGTGGCTACCAAGCTAATGAGTTGAACTATGCGTCATCTTCCACCCCGTGATCTAATCCAACAATCTTAATATCATCATATTCGGCTACAAAAAGATAGTGAGCTTCTTTAACTTCGAAACCCTATCAAAACCACATGAATTATCCACGTTAAAACCCAAAAAAAAAAAAATGATCGTACAATATGCAATTAATTTCAATATTTTTATTATTATTATTATGAATGTAGCAGAGTCAGAGTCGGCCTTAATCTGTTTCCCCATATCTCAATTGGGATGCTTTAAAGCATCTGCAACTTTTACATCTTTAAATTTATCAATTGACAAATCCCCATCCCAATCTACAGTTTGATTTAGCAAAATTTAATCATATATACTACAAAGAAAATAAAAAGAGAGCATACATATAAGAAAGAAAAATATTTTCACCAGATGCAGTTCAATCCCATATAAAGAATTAAAGACACGTAATTAGACTCAAGAAAGCAATAAATCCTTCTAACTTTTATATCCACATGAGAGTTAATCTACGCACCTTCCATACCAATTATAAAATTTTTAATTCAAAGAATCTCAAAGAATTACCTAACCGGAAAGTTCCTCGTGATGCTGTCAAAATTATGTCAAAATTATGTGCCACAGAGCACCTTTGGGCAAAAGCCTTGTATACACTAAAACTTATAAAAACTACACGATGATAAAGAACATTTTCATATTAGAATTTATACGGATGCACCATATTAGAATTTATACGTACCTGAAATATAGCTAAATATTCGGAATCTGTAGGAAGAATCTTGGCTTTGTGCTTGTGCGCTAGAGGAAGGACAAAAGGCCCTCCAGCAATTAGTGTCTCTTTATTGGCCAAGGCTATGACTTTTCTAGCTGTTATGGTGGCCACCGTAAGCTAAATTGCCAAACTTTAATATTACATTCCAAATATTATCCATTAATAATCTAGAAAAATTAAGCCACAAGAGAAATATGTATATATTACACACCAAAATGTCGAAATTTACCTTCAAACCTGCACATCTAACAATCCCTTCTGACGGAGCCACAGTAACAACATTTGTATGTCGGGCGACCTGCAATAAATAAGATGTCCTCTTAAGATTCCAAATAGATTATCCACTAATAAGATGTTTCGAGATTTGAAGAGACAAATCAATAGACTTAAATGTCCTCTTATTATACTACTGCTAATAAGTTCTCAACTGGTTTGCTCATCATGTGAGTAATTTCTGAACTATGCTCGAATACCTTATACACTTTGATATCATATAATTTTTGAGATATTAACATAAACACACTAATGGACCTAGAGACAAAAAATGGTGAAGAATAGCCAACAGCTTAATGCACAGCCTTGAGCATGACAATAACGAAACAATTACTTGAGTATGAAATTTCTAAGATGTTAACCAAAAATCTACAGAGAACTCTAGAATTTGGGGGTTTTTTAATGGATAAAAAACAACACAAAATCTGAGACATAAACTGACGTAAAAATTAGAGCTGCACACATAAGAATCAGATGGGTACACATACCTTAAGAACAATAATAAGTATTAGGTGGAGCAACAAGAGATAATCCACCTCGACAAATTCTCCGACACATTTCGAATTTTGGATAAAAAAAAATGTTGCTTTATCTGAACCATTCTTACCTCGCAAGCAACACAGCTGACTTACTGTTCCAATATGGAAAAAAAAATAAAAATAAGAATAAAAAAATTAAAGTGAAGTGCAATATGGTAACATTCAGATCAAACTTAGTGGTCCAATTTCAAGTTGCTTTCTTTTTCTTTCGTTATAAACGACGTTAGAAGAATCAAATATTATAGGTGGACAAACAAACCCTACGTGCTGGAGGCATTGTCCACTTCCTCCAGTGACGGAGCCTCGGAGCCTCCGAGGTGACGTGGTAGGGTTTCCTAAGAAGAAATCAATTTTTACCTTGTTAAAAAAACTTGTTCAGCTATACAAACAGATAAAAAAATTAAATTGAAGAGAAAATCCACAAGCACCTAATCTCTGATGTCGCCCCGTCAATTTGAGTCGCGGGCTGCCCCGCCGGGTAGTCGCGCTGCCGCCATCCGTCCAAAAGCTACCGATTACCGCCGGTCACAGGCACTGTTCGCCGACCTTCTTCTCCACGGGTGGGAACTCGTCTATCTCTGACGGATAATTTCTCGCCGACCTTCCTCTGAAGGGGAATCCCTGTCTTGATTTCTTCTTCCACGTCATCCCCGACACGCTGTCCGAGACCCTGACCGAGCGCCTGAAGTTCGCGTGGGAGCATGACCCGTTGAAGGCCCTGAAGCTCGTCTACAACCTCCGTGTGGTGTGGAGCACCGGGAAATCAGATAGGGAAGACGGCTACACGGCGGCGCTCTGGCTGCACGCGAACACCCCAAAACCCTAGCCTGCATAATGAAAAACTGGGCCTTTTAATTGGAAAAATACAGCCCAACACTAAAAGTTTTTGGGCCATAGGGTACAGATGGAAATAAGAAAATAGGAAAAGCTGCAGACTACGCCACGTGTCAGCAAAATAAATCCCCAAATTGCCGCTTTTAAAGAGAGGGAAGAATTATTATTTATCAAACTAGCAGACTCTCGCCGTGCACAGCACGGCCGGCTCACGGCTGAATTTTTTTTTTTCAATCTAGAAATACTGTATTATAATTGGAGAAAAAAAAGTAACATAGGTGTAGACTCATAAATACATCAAATTCTTAAATCAACATAATCGATAAAGGGTTATAAATAACAAGGATTTTAATTTTATGTATGATACTGATTTTTGTATATCTCTAGCAAGATTAACTTTTTTTCTTGAATAGATAAAAAGCAAATAAGAACATAATTCATAGTAGATTCCTAAATTTATGGATTTCATTCCAACCTATCATTGAAAATATGAGCATATAAGATATGCTCGAAACATAATAAATATCCTGTTTATGAATGATACAAAGCATCTCAAAGTATAACCATATCAGTATTCACTCATAAACCAGCAAAGAGAAACTAAATGAAACAAGTCTTGAGCAACAATCGAAGCACAATAATTAAGATCATCACTTTCAATGGCATGGTGCAAAGACCGTAGCACGTCTCCCGATAGCTTTGACTGCCAGAGGGTGGGAAGAAATGGGGTGACTAAATTCACTTAGTGTGGCTAAATCAAATCAATAAACATAGAAAATAATGCATGGTGGAATCAGTTGACTAAACAAAGCAAAAAATAATAATAAAAAATAAAAAAAATCCCTGCAAGAAAATACCAAAAGATCTGAATGTAATCATGCCATAGAAGGATCCAGTCACTCTTTGAATTTTGTCAATATATATATCACAGCAAAAGTCTAGTGGAGTAATAACGTAAATCACAAATTTGGAAGAACCCAAGCAGAAAGTAGGCAAACACATATATATGGCAGACATCAGACATGGAATGGTAAATTAAAAAAAAAAAAATTAAACAACAAACTCCCTTGTTTTTTGGTTCGGCTCACGTTACCGACGTGGGAGCCCACTGGCTTGTTCCACCACCTTCAAAAGAAGACATAAAATCCGAGAAATAAAAACCCTAGCAAACTGAATGGTAGTTTCAACCACAAATAGTGATCCACTGAAACCGAAAACACAGATTATAACTTAACGGGGAAAACAAGGCAACTTAAGTTTTTCAAATGAAAATTGAGCAACAATAAACCCCTCCATCTTTATTGCAGCAACTCAAGACGTAAACAGAAGAATTCCTTACAAACATAGAAACCCTAGCCACAACACAGAGACTGAAAGAAAAAGATCATACACATTTTGTATTTTAAAATAAATATATATATAACGCCTAAAAAAATCGAAAACAACTTTCGTACCTATTTCCCAGAAGAAGAAACCGCGTAGAGAACGACCGCATTTTTCTTTAAAACATAAAGTGGAAAAAGAGCAGACATGAAAGAAATGAAATTGGGAGAGAAAGAGGCCACTTATATTTCAATACGGAAAACCTTACGGCACTCAAAGCACACTACCAAACGAAAGAAAGAAAGAAAGAAAGAAAAACAGAAAATACCTCAAGCAGCCTTCGCATGCTCCATCTGACCACATTGCGAACAATACCTCCGTCGGGTTGGCCCGCGCATTCAAAATTTTCAAATATTTGATCAAACTGCAAATATCCCCACAACAACACAAACATAATTGTGAAGATATTGTAAGAACAAGACACTTGGTATATGTAGGACATCAATATAATTATGAGAGGGAAAATCAATATTAGGTGAATGAAGGCACCTACAAGAAAGGAAGAGTAATTGCAGACTGGAAGAGAATTAGGACATCAGGTGCCGGACGTATACTGCAAGCACCATCTTCCTTACAACACACCCAGGTCAATCGGCTTCCCTGCATCCAAACACTCACAGCTCACCTGCCAAAAGAAAATACACCACAATAAATTCTATGAAAATAAGCATTGACAAACATGAACCAGCTCAACAATCATACCTAAGAGGCCCTAATTGAAGAAATGAAGTATTACACGCACACACACACACACCAAGGCTATCTTGATTGAAGAACGTTGGTATGGAGTAGCAATTGGGCCCCGTTGAGGTTTGGTAACAACTTTGAGCAGCTCGAATTTTTTATTCTCCATCTCAATTTCTGACGCCTGAACAGAAATACCTAACCTAATCAGACATTTTAAAGCAAAGAACACTAAATTAGGGTTTGATTTCCACATTACCAACTTACTTCCATGACACAAGCTAATACCAACACCATTACATCCAAACTTATTCAAATTATAGGTAAGACGAAAAAGAAAATCAACTGAAAACACCAAAAGAAAGACAAAAATTAATCGATTTGTATGGAAATCGAACGCATGCAAAATTGCAAATAGAAAGACGAAAAAACCTGTTAGTGCTCGCGTGCAGATCTGCGTGCAATGAGGAGGAAAATGTTTAACACTTCAAACTAAACGACCCCGTCCAAAGTTTAATAAAAACACATGAGCGGGGCGATGAACAAATAAAGCAACACCTAATTCAAAAATGAAAGCAGTATACATTAGAAAAATAAAGCAACAGCCAAGAATTTGGATACTCACCAGCAATGATGGGTGCTCTTCAAAATCGGCCAGTTTCCACAATTTCTCAGTCAAATGCTCCTGAAGCTAAATTAAGCATTTGAAAAGAAGAAAAAAAAACCCAAAATTATGAAAAAAAAAAATATGTATGACACAAATTTCATCATAGCCCATGTAAAAATTAAAAATTAAATAAATAAATAATGAAACCACAGTTCACTGCAATCATCTAATGCTCAGACGTGGGCAAAACAAACATACCTAAAATCGGGCACCCTAAAACTGAGAGAGACCCCTTTGGACTCGTTTCACGTAGGTCGAACCGCAGGCTTTCTAGACGGGAGCATGGTGACTCGACCGCGCCGCAGGGGAATCCATCCCAGCTCAAGTAGAGTTTCGACGATAATAAAGAATAATACGAAAGTTTTACCGATAATAAACTATGTGGCAGGATGAGCAGTCGTCGGGGGAGGCGAACACGGCCTCGCTGCCGGTGAACATCGTTTACTGGTGGGTACCGGATGAACTGAAGGGGGAGGACGCATCGGAGTCGGTATCGAAGGATAGAGGCTGTAAGCAACACATGGAGAGAGGAAGAGAGTTCAGTGGCGCAAGAGAGCAAGAATGGGAGAAGATATTATTTAAAGCCTCAGACAAATGGTAGGGATTTAATCCCTAAAATCAACCGTTCAGAAACAATATTTTCAAACGTTGTCGTTTTAAATGTCAGCGGCGTGGCCTCACAATTGAATAGCCACGTGTCAGAAGGGAAAGGCTCAAGCTATCTTTTTATAAATAAGAGATAAGATAAACATAAAGAAGTTAAAGATTAAAGATAAAGAAATAGTAAGAAAAAAAAAAATATGACAACATTAATTGGTTTTGTTTTATTTTTTATTTATTAAATGAGAAATATTTAAATATGCCTTCAATCACGGATATTTAGTTTTGGTAACCAAATTACTCAATTTAGGTTTTATTTCAATACCAATACTTTTTAAAATTAATTGATATCAACATTTATTAATTTGGGCAGAAAAAACTTGCAAGTTCATAACCCATAATTATTGTGTGCAATTCATCAAAATCAATGATATCACATAATTAATTGTCAAGTTTGTATGTTTTCAGCCGATTTGAGTTTTAAAAGAAAAAAAAAATCATTTGGACGTCAAAAAATTTTGTGTTAAAATAATTTTGCCGATCAAAAAAATAATAAATCTACCGACACACACTCAAATTCTAAGAGTTTTTTGACTAATCGTAAACACCAATAAAATTCGAACATAGAAGTACAAAAATCGAACATAAAAACCTTAAAATTAAAAATTTCACATTTCTTTTTCGGGCAAAACAACTAAAATTAACAAAATCTTCCAAAACACACTCAAATTTGAAGGATTCTTTTGATCAATTGTAAAAACCAAAAAAATCGAACATAAAACTACAAAAATCGAAAATAAAAACCCTCAAATTGAACAATCCATATTTTGTTTCGTGCAAAACACCTAAAACTAAATTAAAGCATCAATTAGATGAAAACTAAAAAAGAATATGTATTTATAAGACTCTCAGTGTTAGAACGGAAAAGTTGGAAGAAGATCAATGAAAAAAGACGAAAGAAGAAACTGGAAGCGGCGAAAAATGAAGGACCGATAATTTCACTATTTATACTTGTAATCTAAACCGCCGATTTGCGTTGACTAATCTGGATCATTGGATTATTTTTTCTGTTTTGTTTGGGTCGATATGAACTTTCGAAGCCAACATTATAAATTGGGCCGATATGAACTTTTTGAAGCCCACATTTTTCAAAAACATTCCTATTTTACAAGTCCAACATGATAAATATAAATAATTACGCGTATCTTATAATAAGTATTTGTTAGGTTTAATTACAATCAATGATCGGTGCTTTATTATATAATTTGAATTTAAATACAAAATTGCCTTTTAAAAAGGATAGAAATAATAAAGCCTCGTGCATCGCACGAGTACTGTACTAGTTTTTAATATAATTATATTATAGTTATTTAATGAAGATAATTCATTTATTCTGAGAGACTCATATATTAAGTCGAGTTATATTTCATTATAGAGTTGTTGATATCCGAGTCCGGCCCCCAATAAGAGGAATCGGTCCAGCGTATCGATAGCTGAACAATGGCCAGGCTGAGTCATAGGTGCCGGTCAACAAAGTAGCACATGGGTGCCGAGCCGACCTAAAGTCAAAGTCATCTAGAACAGCGGGAGGAATAGACCCCGAACTCGGCACCCCATACGTAAAGATATGAGGTCGGCATTCTGTCGGAAGTCTCACCAAGACGGCCCCGGATAAAAACCCGATCTCAAATACAGTAAAATAATGCCACTTGTCTACAAATGATTGCCGATGGGACGTCTAGCTCAGCCAGAACGTGTCCGCATTTAATGCAGCCCACGTTCGCATTAAATGTATGGCAGGTAATGATTGGAGAATCCGGAAATTACTCTCAATCAGTCAGAGAAGCGCCGGTTTGTCCCGTTGAGCTACTGTACGACAAGACCGCTGAACAGTACCCAAACAGTGCCGCATTAAAGTCTCCTATAAATAGCAACCCCCTCATTTATTTTTGGGTTGTTGAAATCCCGACTACTCAAGCCCATATTTTCTCTCTCTAAAGAACTTGTAAGAAACTCTTGTAAGCAATATAAGTATATCGCAAGTGCCGACCTCGTACGAGAGGCGAACTCGTGATCCATTAATAAAACCGTAATTAAACCGTATTTCCTTGTCTTTTCTCCGTTTTCTTTACATTATTTGACTTTTTAACCGTTGACCGGAAACGTCCGTCAACAGTTTGGCGCTAGAGGAAGGGGACCATAAGTTACTTGGTGTCAATTTTTCGATCTTGTGAAGTTACACACATCGCACTCATCTTTTTTCACCTTTTTCGTTTCTAAAAACCACTCAAAATGCCTTCATCCGGACATGACGACTCCACCCAGCAGTCCGGCTCCCAGTCTCGCCGCCGCAACGGCGGGGAGTCCTCCCGTCGCGTTCAGCAGGGACCTATCGTCCCCGTACCCCCAGTTCCTACTTTCGCTGCGGCTTTGCAGCACCCCGACGTCCTCAAAGCCCTCGAGGGGGTCTTCGCCAAAGCCCTCGCCAGTCAAGCCGCCGGGGCGAACACTGTGGTGCCCACGGAGAACCCCGGCAACACTTTGCTCCACACTCCTGAAAAGGAGACCGGTGGACAGAGAAACCCAGCAAAATCCAAAACCACGGCTCAATCGCCGAACCGCGAGGCTCAGAACCGTCGCGACAAGAGTACCAGACCGGCTCCCACAGAGCAGACGGGGGAGAGCCGGCCAGAGCGAAGCCTTCCGGTCGTTCGTCGCTCTGTCCACCAACGCTTGGGGGACAAGAGCCACGCCAACCACGATCTCCGGGAGGTGATTAGACGAGGCAAAGCCATCGGCCACGACACTGAGGAGGTCGCGGCCCTCAAACGCAGAGTTGCCGAATTGGAAGGTCGGCAGCTCACCGGGAGCGAGTTTTCACTCCCAGGCCATCAACAAACCCACACGCGACCGACCCCTCGGGTCGCGGATAACGCCTCACCTCTCTCCCTCGATATCCTACAAGAAGCCGTCCCAAAGGGAATACAGATACCGCAGCTCGGCCTCTATGACGGGAGCTCGGATCCCGATTCCCACCTCGGCCTCTACACCTCCTGGATGGACCTGCACGGCGCCTCCGACGCCCTACGCTGCCGCATGTTCTCCCTGACGTTGGGGCCCAAGGCGCAGAGGTGGTACCATTCCCTTTACCCCCGCTCCATCTCAACCTGGGCACAGCTGAGGTCGGCGTTCCGATCTCACTTCATCGGGTCGCAGGTCAACCTCGCCCCCAAGGAGTCCATCTCAAACATTGTGCAGGGCGAGAACGAAAGCCTCAAAGATTACATTGCTCGGTTCAATGATCGGGTCCAAAACATGGAACGATGCCACCCCGACGCCTTGCTCATTACGGCCCAGGGCGGCCTCAGGCCAAAAACATTGTTCAGATGGTCCCTGTGCCAGAACAAACCGACCACCTACCAGGAGTTCCTCACCCGCGCTCAAGATTATATCATGGCGGAGGAATCCTCATCAATCCCGACCTTCGACGCTGCACCGGCACCGGTACCGGCAAAGGCGAAGGCAAAGGAGGAGAAGTCAGGGAAGCCGAGCAAGTCCTTCGCTGAGATTCGAGCTCAGCGGAGACAGAGGGCCGAAGAGCTGAAAGAGAGCTACCAGGGCGTCTTCTCGGTAGGCGCCGCGGCGGTCTACGAGGAGATTAAGGCCAAAGGGTTGTTGCCGGACCCAAAGCCAATGTTCACTGACAAAGACAAAGTGGACAAGACCCGATACTGCACCTACCATAAGGCGCACGGGCATAACACCGATCAGTGCCGGAATCTGATCTCGGCACTTCTGAAGTTGATCGATGACCCCCAACTCCAGAAGTTCACGCATTCCGGGGATAAGAGAAAGAAAGGGGGGCGTTTCGAGGAAAATCCCGACAGTGACGAGGATGCCGACGTGAATCCTCGAAGAAAGAAGCCGCAGCAGGGCGGCCCCCACGAGATCATGACCTTCTGCCCCACTCATCAGAATGAGGCCGGCACCTCCAGGGGCAGAAAAAGAGACCGGTCCCCTTGCACCGGGGCCGGCCCGGCGAACCTTCCAACCCGGCGCGTCAACACGAGCCGGGGCGAGTCCCTCCTCTCCAGGAGGCAAACTAAAGCCTATGCCCGACAGGCCTATCATGCCGGGCAGAGGGTGATGCACGCCCACAGCCGACCGGCGCCAGAGCCGACCCCAAACACCATTACCTTCAACGATGAAGACGCCTTCCTGTTCGACCATCCCCACTCCGACGCCCTGGTGATCACGGCGCCGATCATGGCGATTAAGATCCATCGCATCATGGTCGACACCGGGGCCTACGCCAGCATCCTTTACTACGAGACCTTCAAGAAGATGGGAATCGATAGGAAGGAGGTACAACCCTGCCGGGAGCGGATCCAGGGCTTCAACGGTCAGACCGTCGCCCCGGTTGGACAGGTCACGCTCCCGGTCCGGTTCGGAGACAGGGGGCAGCCCACGAAGACGATCTTGGAAACCTTCAAAATCGTGGACTGCCCAAGTGAGTACAACGCCATATTGGGCAGGACGGCGCTCTACAAATTGAAGGCCGCCGTCTCCATCTTCCATTATTCTCTCAAATTCCCAACTCCCGACGGGGAAGGGACCCACCGAGGAGACCAAAGGGAGGCACGGGAATGCATCCTGACCATCCCGCGCACCGAAATAAACATGATTAACTTACAGGAGGACGCCGGGGTGGCGGACATCGAGTCGGCGCACGACGATCACGGGGGCAACCGCATGCTGGGAAACCAGACAGGTTCGCACCCCCCGACCTCGTCGAGTGCCGACCCCACTATCACGGAGCCCAGCGCCGGGGCAGATGA